TCTCATTTATCTGACTGCATGTTTTAGCTTGAAAGTTCCCAGCACCTCTTTAAATGTGGTTCTGGGGTACAAATCAGCAGTTATCAGTCTAGTACCAGCAACCTGACCACTCTGGAAGATGCCAGAATGGCTGGACTGTCTTGGAATGTTTGTAGGCTGCATAGATATGACCAGCAATGATCGCTATCACCTATGATCATTACACGCTTAGATCCGTGGTATGTCATTGCTGTTTTTATTCCTAGTCTGGCCCTGACAGCTGCTCTTATGATCATTTTATCTTTTAATTTTGTACTTGTTTATACAGACTATGGACAAATTTCAGCACATCTTGAAACCATTGCAAGACCACAATAAATCTGTGTGAGAATAGACTCAGAAGTCAGGACTTGTACATACCATACTGTATATACAATCTATTTGACAGAACAAGAAGAAAAGCTTAAGATATTTCCACTACTTGTCATTGTGCCCTGGTGACATGCAGCTCAGCAGTTTTTACGTTCTCTGGGAGCCTTTGGTTTCAACTCCCAGGATGACAAGCAGTCATGTTCTCAGAATAAAGTCACATCTTGGTGACATTAAAAATAAAATGCCAAAGGCTGCTGTGGCAGTGTCATTGAGGTTATATATACTGTACCTGTAATCTAGAATTGCAACACTTTCTGAAATTTACAGTATAAAATACTTGATCCAAAGTGCCTTAATAAAAAAAACACATAAAATGTCTCACAATGTAAATCCATCAACAATTCAGATCCATGTCAGTCACGCTGCCCAATGCTTGCCGATATGTCCAAACACGTCTACTGACTCCTGCTGAGTGACACGTGTCTGTTTTTAGGTAAGTTGCAACTTTTTTTTTACCTATTCACATGGGGGGGCACCCCTGCAATATAGAATCATTGACGTCATCCTGGAGGCCCAGTCCCTTTGCTTATATTTCGGCAGCAGGTACCAAGAGATTTGGTGGGAGCCAAGTGAAGGGTTTGGACGTGTCAGCAATTGGTGGATACTTTTGGCAGGTTGGCAGGTGTCATGATTGATGTAGATCTGTGTTGCTGGATGATGAGATTGATAGTGGATTTATTTCAGACCTGAGCAGAATTAGGCTTAGACTATTGGTTCAGCCCTCCCAGACAGTCCCAGTTTCTCATGTGGCCCTTTGGGAAAATTAATTGCCCACCCCTAATTTACACTGTGGGATATTTTGGATATTTTTATTTTTTATGAGACTTGTCAAAAATTGTGTATGACAAAAGCATCTTCCTCATTTACAATATGTTTTATTATCTACCTTTAGCATTTCATTTATTCATGCTCATTGGTGCCTTTTTTTAGTAGACTGTAGCTGGGACACACCCAGTCCATGCTTATTTCCAGGCAGAAGAATACAATTAACCAGTCACATACTGCCAAGTACCATTTATACACAAGGCAAAGCAAACAACTGAGAAAATGCAGAATGCAAAAATGTTACAATATGACGAATTCAACCCAAGCGAGAAAGTATAACAGATATGAAAACTATGCACATTGCAATGTGTGCATAAACAAGAAATCACTTATACATACTAGGGCTATGTTTTAATGCAAATGTGATCTTGTACCTTACACCCCCATCAAAATCCAAAAGCCTGATGCAACATTCTGGTGAGAATTAGGCCATCTGCTGATAAATCAATGAAAACTAGGCATAATTGTTCTTTGCTAGCCAGATTATACCTGGTGTACTAATTCACTTAGAGTAGCCTTTCTCATCACAGCTTTTTTGCCCCAGAGGAACTCTTGAAATAATAACCAGGTCTGTGCGAACCCCTACTAAGAATGATTATACCTATGACTCATGGCACATTAGCATGATCTGTAAGTTATAGAAAGTTTAAACAATGTGGCATTCCTAGGGTATTTGACACCTAGCCCAGAATATTTTTTTTTTTTTAACAAACTATCTTTTATTCAACATTATTTTCAGTAGTGATCTTGAAATGAAATAATTAATGATAATAGAAAAGAAACACAGAAATTAAAACTATGGTGTCCCCTTACATTGGTGGCCATTGTAAAAGTGATAGCTTATATTTGTGGTCACCTCTCAAGAAACTCTGGTTGGGAAAGGCTGCCTTAGAATGTCTAAGACAGATCTTGGATCCATTTCAACAAAAGATCTAAACAGTCCTTAACAACTTCCCACCCAGGACAATTTTGGCATCTCTCGCCTACATGTAAAAAACATAATGTTTTGCTAGAAAATTACTCAGAACCCCCCCAAACATTATATATATATATATATATATATATATATATATATATATATATATTTAGCTTGGACCCTAGAAAGTACAATTTGCATTTTTTTATGTCATGTGATATTTTTCAAATGCAAACTAAAAAGATATACACTTTAATGAATTTTATTGCAAAAAAACTAAATATATAATCCATTTTTTTGTAAAATATAACATTTAACATTTACGTTACGCCGAGTAAATAGATACCTAACATGTCACACTTTAAAATTGTGGATACTCGTGGAATAGCACCAAACTGCGGAACTTAAAAATCTCCATAGGCGATGCTTGAAACATTTTTACAGGTTACAAGTTTAGAGTTATAGAGAAGGTCTAGCAGTAGAATTATTGCTCTTGCTATAACATTTGCAGTGATGTCTCACATGTGTGATGTGAACACCGTTTACATATGCAGGTGTGACCTGTGTATGCGGGATGGGGGCACTTTACAAAAAAAATGTTCTGTATTTTATTTTTTTTACACTGTACCTTTAATTTTTTTTTGATCATAGTTACATAACTAGTCTGGCTGCAAAAAGGACACAATCCCATCGAATAACTTATATTCTTATTAAAAGAAATGTAAACATCCATTATAATAGGAATAAGGCATGACAGGTCCCCTTTATGGAGACATTTGGGGGTTTATTTACTAAAGCTGGAGAGTCCAAAATCAGACTCCCTTCTGCATAGAAACCAATCAGCTTCTAACCTCAGCTTGTTCAATGAAGCTTTGGCAATGAAACCTGGAAGCTGATTGGTTTCTATGCAGAAGTGAGTCTGATTTTGCACTCTCCAGCTTTAGTAAATAAACCCCTTGGAGTCAATAAGACCCCAGATATCTCCTATATCCTGGAAAGCATGAGATTAAAAAAAAAAATGATCTCTGATTTCCAGGGGAAAAAATGGCAGTGTCTACATCTGCCAGAGCCAGAAGTGACGTCATGACATTGCTTCCAGTGTCCCAGGATCATAGAGATGGCCGGGGACCATCCAGTCCACAGCCAGATCTGTGGTAACCCGTCGCCGCTGCATCTGATGACGGGCTCCCTGATCAAACAGGAGAGCCAAAGAGGTGGGCGTGAACGTCCCCTCCCACTGCCTGTAAAAGTCATCCAACGGCTAATCAGCTGCTAGGATGGCTTTTATATTACAGGGAATAGCTGGCTGAAATAAACATTTCTGGATGCCTGAAGCTGCAGGCATCATCCAGATATCTCAACTTCAAGTCCAGAATGTCATATGATGTCCTGCAGGTGGGAAGTGGTTGTCCAGAGGCACTTCCTGGCAACATTGTCGGTGTCTGTGAAAGCAGCACATCCCCAAACTGCATAGCCCCACCTGACTATGCCCTCATCCCATGATGTTACATGTCATTCTGATTGAAGGGCGATGCGGCTCCTCCCATCCCCCTTGCTAGAGGAGCAAGTACATCACTATGGTGTCCGTTTATGACACACAGAATAGCTGCGATTCAGAGGATCACAGCTATTCTCTGGTCATTCACAGTTTATGACACCCAGGAGAATATGTTCTGCCCTTCCCTGGCGATCTGTGTTCTCCCTCCAGATTCTCCAGCCCAGAGCTGGAGAATCGGAGGGACCGCAAACTAAGCAGAGATAATTTACCTCTGCTTAGTAAACTGATCTTTTACTGTAATCTCACGAGATTATAGTAAAATCAACCGTTTTACAGCGTTTGTAGACCGTTCTCCCTTCGTTTGGAGAACAGATCTACATATGCTTCATAAACGGCATTCACAGGAGAACTGTGTTCTCTGAGAATGCCGGAGAACTGAGCAGCGATCTATTACTGCTGGTTAATAAACGGACACTATAGTCACAAAGTGTGACATATGTGATTTAGCTGGGCCAAGTAGACATGCCCACCAGCTGCCCATACAGTATGAACAGACAGACATCCTAATCACGCGACAACAAGGGAATACAAACAAACAAAAAAGGGTACAAACCTGGCAATCTCAACATTTTTGCATTTAAGAAATGACTTGGATTTCTTTAGCTATTGCAGGGCATTTTTTAATGCAAGCCTTTTCTTCCACTGTAATGCAGGTTTTGTTGTGCTGTGATTATAATGGCTACTCCTACTGCATGGTTTCAGATAAAAGGTCTGCATTTAGAAAAAAAAAGAAAATAAATAATCTGGATATTAATAAAGTGTCAATAAACTGTCAATGTGTGAGTGTGTTTTTTAAAATATGTATCTGTTTTAGAAATATTCCATACAGAATCTATAAGTTAGATTTGTCTACATCATTTATCAGCATCCTGGAAAATGTATGACATTTTTAAATGTGCCTGCCCAAGTTAACTTCCTTGTATTACTTTACTATTTCTTTACACTTCTATGGATTTATATAGTGCCAACAGTTTACACAGCGCTTTACAACAAAAGGGCAGTCAGTACTATTACAATGCAAATCAATACTGGAGGATTCAGAGGGCTCTGCTCGTTAGAACTTACAAACATTTTGCCTGCCAATTAAAAATATTAAAAGAGTATCTGTGTCAACTGACAAGATTATGGTTTATACAGGATAAAACAACACTACCACAATTAAGACATAATGAAATGTTTTCCCCTGTGTTTTATTGCTGCCACAAGTCATAAACCACATATATGTACTGTAATTACTTCCCATAGTCAGTATTTAGCATTACTTACTGATTTACCTGCGTTGTTTTTCAGTTTGACAGACTGAATCTTGCTCTTCAAAGAACAATCACAAGACATAAAACAAAATGTAGCACAAACAGGTAAGCCCAGTTGCATGTTTACTTCTAGTACATTTTATTTGTATATAAAAAGGCACAATATCGTCTAGGAGGAGCTGACAAGACCTTTCCCCATCCCCTGATCTGCCTGGTGTTTTGTTCAATACAGTCTAATAATAGACCACATAAGTCCCTTTAATGCTTCGACCATTGACCTGTCTTTCAAAACCATGTAAGCTAAAACTAATCATATTAAAAACCAACCATGGTGTTGTACACAAGCAGTATTTTGCAGCTGCTTCAATCATTTTCATTACACCAGAAAGATGGAATGCTCAACCTTAATAAAACACTTATCCATGAATCTATAAGGTTGATTTAATAAGGAAAAAAAAACAAAGTGCAAAGTGCAGTAAGTCACAGCAACCTATTAGAATTTATCTTTCAATGATATGACATTAGTGAAGTGACATTTGATTGGTTGCCTTTGGTTACTACAACTACACTGTGCATATAATCTTTGTGCTACCTTATTAAAAAATAGCCAGTTCTTATCGCTATGATTTCTTCTGCTAAGCACTTGCCATGAACAGTGTCTTCTCTTCAATGGTTCAGGCAGAGATTCTGTTGAAGCTTCCCTTTCTATTGAATGTGGCATGTGAGAAAATGAAAAAGACTGCTGGCTCTGGATTCTATTAGATAACGCAACAAAAGCAATCCTACTGCAGAGGCTTCTCAAATCTTGATAGTATTGCATCTATAGGGTGAATATTTGAGAGGAAATTGCTGATTCTAATGGTTTTATGGGAGTAAAGAACTTTTAATGTTTAACCACTTGAGCTCCTGAGGATTTACCCCCCTTAATGACCAGGCCTTTTTTTGCTGTTTGGTGCTGCACTAATTCAAATGATAATTGCGTAGTCATGCAATGCTGTACCCAAACAAAATTTACGTCCTTTTTTTCACACAAATAGAGCTTTCTTTTGGTGGTATTTTAACACCTGTGCACTTTTTATTTTTTGCGCTATAAACAAAAAAACACAAAAATTTTGAAAAAGAACAATATTTTCTACTTTCAGCTACAAAAAATATATCGCAAACTCAAAGTTAGTCATAAATTTAAGCCAAAATGTATTCTGCTACATGTTTTTGGTAAAAAAAAATCCCGTGCATTAGCGGGCAAACTGGCGCTATATGGGAGGGGCGCTAACAATATCGGAAGTCACCAGTGACACTAATACAGTGATCAGTAAAAATCTGTTCACTGTACTCAATGACACTGGTGACAGGCAGTGAAGGGGTTAACTGGGGGGGGGGGGGGCGATCAAGGGTTAAATGGGATTATTGGTGTACTTGTTCACCATGATCAATGACACTGGTGACAGGGCAGTGAAAGAAGCTAACTCGGGGGGGGGGGGCGATCAAGAGGTTAGACGGGATTACTGGTGTATTAGCGGGAAATTCAGGCGCTATCTCGGGAGGGGCGCTAACACTATCGGAAGTCACCAGCGACATGATACAGTGATCAGTAAAAATCGGTTCACTGATCAGTGACACTGGTGACAGGGCAGTTTTGATCGGGGTTACTGGGGGGGGGGGGGAGAGATTAAGGGGTTTGTTAAATGGGATTACTGGTGTACTAGCGGGCAAACTGGCGCTATCAGGGAGGGGCCGCTAACCCTATCGGAAGTCGCCAGGGACACTGATACTGTGATCAGTAAAAATCGGGTTCACTGATCAGTGGACACTGGTGACAGGGCAGTGAAAGGGGTTAAACTGGGGGGCGATCAAGGGGTTAAACGGGATTGAGTGGTGTACTGGGCGGGCAATCTGCGCTATCTGGGAGGGGCGCTAACACTATCGGAAGTCGGCCAGCGACACTGATACAGTGATCAGTAAAAATCGGTTCACTGATTCAGTTGACACTGGTGACAGGGCAGTGAACGGGGTTAACTGGGGGGGGGGGGGGGGGGGGGTTAATGGGTTAAACGGGATTACTGGTGTACTGGCGGGCAAACCTGCGCTATCTGGGAGGGGCGCTAACACTATTGGAAGTCTCCAGCGAACTGATACAGTGATCAGTAAAAATCGATTCACTGATCAGTGACATGGTGACAGGGCAGTGAAGGGGTTAACTGGGGGGGGGCGATTTCAGGGGGTTTATATGTTGACCTAGTGTGTGTTCTAACACTGTAAATGTGTAGTGGTTGTTTACTCACTTTTACTGTTTCTTTCTTCCTCTGTCTGGAACGGAATGTGTCCAGGCAGAGAAGAATGACATCATATCCAGTGCCCTGTGTAAACTTCAACACATGGACAGAGATTAGGACAGGGACCAGATTCATCTGATTTCATCCAGACATCACTGTCTGAAAATCTAATGATTGATCCCTCCCGGGATCGAATTGGTGTCACCCACGGGTCGGCGGGAGCGCGCGCAGTGACCCCTGCCAGGCGGAAAACGTCGGGAGCGCGGAAACCCCGTTTTAAAAAACGTGTGGTTTTGCGCATGAGTGCCGCCCATGCACACTTATGTCTACAAGTGGGCATGGGCAGGCAAGCGGTTTAACCATTAGAATACCGGTTCAATTTTACACCATTCCTGCCCAGCAGTATTCAGGTTTCAGCGCTCTCGGACAGTCAACACTTTTGAATGACAATTGCACGGTCCATACAACATCGTACCCAAACTAACAATTTTATCAGTTTCTATCACACAAACTAGAGCTTTCTTTTGGTGGTATTTAATCACCCACTGGGGTTTTTATTTTTTGCTAAATTAACAAAAAAAAGACACATAAATATTTGAAAAAAAAAAAGTTTTTCTTTGTTGTCTGTTATAAAAGTTGTTGCAAAAATAATAATAATAGTTACTTCATATATTTAGGCCAAGATGTAATTCTACTACATGTCTTTGGTTGAAAATAACCCCCTTATTAGGATGTAATTTTTTTAGTTTGTAGGAAAGTTATAGAGTTCATAAACTATGGGTTATAGATCTGAAATATTGATCCAATCCTGACTGTAACTGTGACAGGCCAATCTTAATTTCTTGAGGCTCCAAGAATGTCAGAACAGTACAGATATCCCCCTAAATGACCCCTATTTATGCAGAGTAGACACAGTCCGGACGTACTTCATATACAAGGCATGGAGGATTTTTTTTGAAGTTGTATTTTTTTTGGTCATAATTTTTCGGAAAATGAAAATAATGCAAAAAATTATTTTCATCTATTTTTTTTTAACATACTGTCCAACATTGCAGTTACAGAGTCAATCATAGTAACTGGCATGGCGGTGATCAGGTACACTGACTTGGTGACCGTATATTTGGAAAAAAAATATATATATATTTTTTTTATTTGTTTTATTTGTTTTATTATTTTTAATTTTTTATCACACATTTTTTTTCTTTTTGTTAAGATTTTTTTTTTTTCATATTTCACTATGTCCAAAGTAAAGTAGTACATTTGGACGTCCAACCCAGAAATCCAGTACATTTTGCAGGCCGCCTTTTGGCTATTGGCCCTGGCGTGTATTGGTTTAAAGTTAGTAGCTATAATATATAAAATGTTGCATACATAGTATATATTACAGGGTGTGTGTGTGTGTGTATATATATATATATATATATATATATATACAGTATCTCACAGAAGTGAGCACACCACTCACATTTTTGTAAATATTTTCATATATCTTTTCATGTGACAACACTGAAGAAATGACACTTTGCTATAATGTATAGTAGTGAGTATACAGCTTGTATAATAGTGTAATTTTCTGTCCCCTCAAAATGACTCAACACACAGCCATTAATGTCTAACCCAGGGGTCCTCAAACTTTTTAAACAGGGGAACAGTTCACTGTCCCTCAGACCGTTGGAGGCCGGACTATAGTTTTAAAAAAAAAAACTATGAACAAATGCAGACACAGTACAGGAGATGTCCAGAGACTGCAGACATACAACGACAACAGGAATACTGGGCCGGCCGCTCCATAAGACGAAATAGTTTTGCCCCATCATTGGTGTCAGTGGGAGGAATAGTGCCCCATCATTGGTGTCAGTGGGAGGAATAGTGCCCCATCATTGGTGTCAGTGGGAGGAATAGTGCCCCATCATTGGTGTCAGTGGGAAGAATAGTGCCCCATCATTGGTGTCAGTGGGAAGAATCGTGCCCCATCATTAGTGTCAGTGGGATGAATAGTGCCCCATCATTGGTGTCAGTGGGAGGAATAGTGCCCCATCATTGGTGTCAGTAGGAAGAATCGTGCCCCATCATTGGTGTCAGTGGGAGGAATAGTGCCCCATCATTGGTGCCAGTGAGAAGAATTGTGCCCCATCATTGGTGTCAGTGGGAGGAATAGTGCCCCATCATTGGTGTCAGTGGGAAGAATCGTGCCCCATCATTAGTGTCAGTGGGAAGAATAGTGCCCCATCATTGGTATCAGTGGGAGGAATAGTGCCCCATCATTGGTGTCAGTGGGAAGAATCGTGCCCCATTATTAGTGTCAGTGGGAGGAATAGTGCCCCATCATTGGTGTCAGTGGGAAGAAACGTGCCCCATCATTGGTGTCAGTGGGAAGAAACGTGCCCCATCATTGGTGTCAGTGGCAGAAATAGTGCCCCATCATTGGTGTCAGTGGGAAGAATCGTGCCCCATCATTGGTGTCAGTGGGAGGAATAGTACCCCATCATTGGTGTCAGTTCGAGGAATAGTGCCCCATCATTAGTGTCAGTGGGGGGAGGAATAGTGCTCCATTATTGGTGTCAGTGGGGGGAGGAATAGTGCCCCATCGTTGGTGTCAGTGTGGGGGGAATGGTGCCCCATCATTGGTGTCAATGGGGGAAGGGGATAGTGCCCCATCATTGGTGTCAATGGTGGGAAGAATAGTGCCCCATCATTGGTGTCAGTGGGAAGATTAGTGCCCCATCTTTGGTGTCAGTTGGGAGGAATAGTACGTCATTGGTGTCAGTGGGGGGGAATAGTGCTCCGTCACTGGTGTCAGTGGGAGGAATAGTACGTAATTGGTGTCAGTGG